CGTGGCGAGCGGCTTCAAGGGCTTCCAGAAGGTTTCGACGGTCATTGGCATCGTGGAGATCCTCGGGGTGATCGACCTCAAGGGTTCCAGAAGGAGACGATGGACGTCGGCATCATGGAGATCCTCGTGGCGAGCGGCTTCAAGGGCTTCCAGAAGGTTTCGATTGACATTGGCATCGTGGAGATCCTCGTGGCGATCGGCTTCAAAGGGTTCCAGAAGGTACGATGGACGTCGGCAAAAAGGAGATCCTCGGGGTGATCAGCGTCAAAGGGTTCCAGAAGGAGACGATGGACGTCGGCATCATGGAGATCCTCGCGGCGTAATAGATGATGCGCCTAGCCACAGTCAGTCGGTGAGTTCTTAGCGCCTAGCCGTCAGTCGGTGGAGTCCGTCAAGCAGATGACCGTCATGATGGACCTCCGGGACTGCTTGGAGGAAAAGAGCAGCTGGGGCTCCTTCTCGCGGTGATGACTTGCAAGGACCGGCGGGACCACCTACAGTGTCTAGCATCAGTGCGACCAAGTGCGAATCGCTGGGTACTGGGTATCCGACGACGGCTACTGAGTTTGGGCAACCTGGACCACGACCATGCCTCCAACGACAATGACTACAAGTGAGCGCCTTCTTGAGACCGTGGCGGAAGGAATGCAGCAGCTCCAGAAGGCTCAGCTTGATCAGTTGGAGAAGGCGCACAAAAGGCGAGATGATGAGACTCCGGACCAGTGTAAGCGGGGAACAACAACGTTGCCTCTGCTACCGAGTCCTAGCGGCAACGAGAGTGCTGTGGCGTGCAGCAGGGGAGCTTCATGCAAGTTTGTTCACTCCTTCGAGGGCATCTCCAAGAAGAATCGGTGCTACACGTGTGGAGCTGAAGGGCATGTGTCGAGTGCGTGTCCTGAAGGCCGACAATGGAGACGCTGGGAAGGGGAAAGGAAGGTCAAAGGCAAAGTAGTGCTCCGGGAACTCCCTCGGCTAAGGACGATGCTAGAAAAGGAAATGGCAACCCAGCAGCGAGATCTATGACTACGGAGCCTGAGCCGCAGCCTTCGGCACCAACCTCGCCTACCAGTCCGGAGAGCGCAGGAGGAGAAGTGAAGGAAGCCTTGAACGATGCGGCTCAGGCGTTGAAGTCGCTGATGAGTACGGGCTCCTCGGGAACGTCCTCAACTACATCCACCTTGGAGAGTCTTCAACGGCAACTAGATGAACTGAGGCTGAAGGCTTTGAAGGTGAACGAAGAGGTGGTAGAGATGAGAAAGTCACAGTCCACTCCTTTGGATGCTCGGGTGTTTGGGGATCTACCTGCGGTACCTACACTGATCGACTCTGGAGCGACTCACATCCTTCGGCAACCTCGTGATGAAGTGGAGCTGGGCACGGCTACGAAGGTGTCCGTGACGCTGGCCAATGATGAGCGACGCGATCTACTACAAGCTGAGTCTGGGGCGATTCTTTCTTTCCACTTCGCCGGACACCCAGCCGATCTTGCCAATGGCAGAACTGGTGAGCGCGGGGTGCGAGATCAGCGGGAAGCGGGGTGTTTTCAAGGTGACCGAGCTACGGGTTATGCGACGGCTGCCATATAGCAGTGGCAAGCTCAGGCGGGAGCTGGCGAACACCGCACCTACGACTTCGAGAAAACTGGTTGGTGGAGTTGGTGGACTCTGATGAGTACCAGCTGAAGCACCAGCCGGGTGTGGATCAGTTGGCGGATGGGCTTACCAAGCAGCTTAGCTCGGAGCGTTATGGAAGCTACTGGAAGCTTGGGGCTTCTTCAAAGGGAAGCCTACTGCCGAGATCAAGGTGCTCAAGTTCGCGGATGATGAGGGCAGGTTCGCTCCAGCTACCGCAGAAGCCAGCGCACAACGGCAGCCATGCAAGCCAGCACAACAACAGCCACACGACTCAACACCACAACAGTAATACCGATGTTGAATGAAGGGACCCTGAGTAAGTGTACCCAGGTGTTAATCGGGTTAGGTTTGCTTGCTGGAGCGACGGGCGAGGAGTTTGGAAATCATCAGGCCTAGACTGGTGTTGATTCAGAGCATGAGCTTTGGATTGCTGTGTTGTTGGTGATGATTACAACAGCTTTCGTCTGGGAATGGAGCAAGGGTACAGCTGGTGGTGCGACAAGGGCTGTGACAATGAAGATGATGAAGAAGTCTACGAAGTCTGGGCTGTCGAAGGGAGAAGGCAAGGAGTTGCTCGCGCTGCTGGGAATAGACGATCGGTCTGTTGAGCAGGAGGCGAGATTAAGTGCCTTAGTCTCAAAGTACCAGGCTACGACACCTGAGTGCTGAGTGGGGCCGAAGCCAAGTCGGCTTCAGGCAGCGACTCTTGGGGAAGAGGCTCGTTCTCGTCTTCTACCACGCCAAGGCCTGAGACACAAAACCGAGAACGCTTTCAGCCTGAGAAGTGGAGCCGTGATGTGCAGACGGATCCCGAGGACCCGCCAGACAGACCCACCGCAGCTGTGAGACCGTCTGCGGTTGACTCGAAGATTCGATACATTGTGCAGCCATGGGAAGGCGATCTGTTTGTGAGTCCGAATGGCGACAGGGCCCACCTCAGGCCTGACTGCCATGGACTCCGGAATGCTTCAAGGGCCGTTCGGAAACCGATGTGCCAATACTGCTTGCAAGACTGGCGAAACGATCCCAACAATTTACGGGAACGATGAGTTGCCGGGGCTTCGGGCAGTACGAAGGAATGATGGCATCCCTTGCGGGTGCATCAAGGAGGGGTGCTGATTCCTGAAGCCCCTTTCCATGTAAAGAAGCCACTAGTGGAGCTGGTGTGCCCTTTCAGGGACCTGTGGATGTCAAGCGGCATCAGGGCTCAAGAAGAGGCAAGCAAAGACAACAGTCTAGGTATGCACAGATGCCCTGGCAGGCTTAGAGAACTAAGCTCAGACGTCTTTTGGTGTGTGGTGAAAAGAGTTTGAGGGCCGTGCGTTGCTTCCATGGTTGATCGGATTCCTTCGGGGATCATCCGATAAACTGGAAACGATACTGAGAAGGCGACGAGGCCAAATGTCAACTCCAGCTGAAGGGTCAGGGGATGCCCCTGCTCTTCAACTACTACTACTACTACAACTACTACTACTACTACTACTACTACTGCCACTTGATCAAAACCTGAAATGAGCAACTCAAACGCCCAGAAATTGTGTCGTTCCCGGATACGTGTTCCATTGTTTTTGGGGGCGGTCGTCCCCGGGGGCGTTTTTTTTGTGTTTTTTTTTTGCTGTCGTTGCGGGGTGCGATTTTTTTTGTTTTGCTGTCGTTGCGGGGGCGCGCTTTTTTTGCTGTCGTTGCAGGGGCGCGTTTGATTTTTTGCTGTCGTTGCGGGGGCTCGTTTTTGTTTTTTCGCCGTCGTTGCGGATGCGCGTTTTTTTTTTGCTGTCGTTGCGGGCACCGGTGTTCACTCACTCACTGGTTTCCTTGGTCCGCGCAACGAGAACAAAAAACATAGAGGCAACTACAGCAAAAAACAACACTGGTTCCATGCTCGGAGCCGCCAGCTGCTGCCTCATTGCCTGCTGGCGCTGCCCGGCACACAAAACCGGACCACACAGCGAAACATAATCAACAAAGGCCCAACGGATTTCAGCCGGGTGCAAGTCCTCCTGCCCACAAGATCCGGCCAGTCTGCTTGTCAAACATTTAGCAGGTGTTTCGGCTGGCCCGAGAAACACGGATGCTCTGCAGTGGACTGGAAAAAACGCTGAAGATTGGGTAGTAAGAGCAGGTAAGAGCATATAAGAACGAATAGATAAGTGCACACATATATGCAAATATGAACAATCGACAAAAGCATCCAAGTATCCAAACTTTCAACACAGGTTTCATACTGCAGACACAAGTAGCAATTGTGGCGGTTCGACTTCGACCTGCGCCGCGCTGAGTGAGCCTTCGTGCTTCCGCAGGGACCGGACGAACTGCAGGAGTGGACGTCGAAGCCCAGAAGTCCACTGGTTTTAAGTTCAAAGTTTGAAGAACATGCTCTGAAGACGGCCTTTTTCGTGTCTTGTGTGCCAGGTTGGCATCATCGGCGGTTCCCAGCTGCTCTACGGACTCGACGGTGGCGGAATGCTCATTGGGATCGTGGGCTTCGCTCTCATGACGTTTTTCCGGACATAAGACTGGCAAAGCATCATCCCCAGCGCCACTTTCTCCATCACTTCCTTTTGGAACTGCCTCGTTTCTGTTGCGGACACTTCACGAAGGAATCGGCAAGAGTAAAATCAACAAAGCGCTGCTCAATGACGAGCACATTCGTAGACACATATGTTCTGTTTTCTCATTTTGTTGGGATCTACCTTGAATTGTAGATATATATATATATATATATTACATATTTATGTATTTTTCTATTTACCCATTTACCCATTTATCTATGTATCTATTTGTTTGTATACCTATCTACCTAATAATATACTTGTATCTTTATATACTTATATACCTATATATATTTATGTATTTATATATCATATTTGTGTATTTAGTTTTATATACATATACATACTTATATATTTATATATTTATATGTACATGTGTATAATATATATATATATATATATATCTGTATATTTATATCTATATGTATATATACATACATAGTTATATATATATATATGTGTGTGTGGTAATGTACTTATATGTATATATATATATACACATGTATATATACATATATATATATGTTTAAACTTTTACTTTCTGACATATGTGTGTATTTTATGCGCCAGCACCATATGATTAATATGTTATAAATTACTGTCGTCAAACTTCCAGACAGCGGGTTTGGAACAACCCCCACAGGATTCCACATGACACAGCCCGAAAAAACAATTTGTAGACTAGGTACCCTCGCCCCACTGTAGATAAAGGACCCAAATGCAGCCCTCGTCACCGCACCTTCCGACAGTGTGAAAACCAAGGAGAGTCGGATAAGTCTCACTGCCGCACGTGGATCTGCACGACATGTGCACGGATTCAGAGACAGAGAGTCAGGTCGCGAAGTGTCAAGTCGGGAGACACGCCGCACGAAATGAGTGCTGATGTGCATACAAGGCTTTGCAGGTCCTCGGAGATGTCTGCCACAAGATTTGCAAAGATGTCAATGAAGAGCAGGGAGCGAAATGTGGGGTTCCTGTGAAAGGCTTAGCCACGGGACTGCAAGGACTCCCATGACTGCGAGCTTTCCGGCGAGGTAATTCTGAGCGATAGCCGCTCTCTCAGCAGCAGGCTGTTCCTCTCGTGCTTCTGCAACATCCTCGAAATGCTTCATGAACCTCGCAGGCTCAAAGCGGCTGGTGCCAAGCGCGAGCGAGACGCGCGGCCGCGCGGCGCTGCCTGAAGAACTTGAAGAATCGCCGAGCTGTTGAGAGGCTCTTGGAAAGAGCCTCGAAGTGCTTGCCTCGGAGCTTCGAAACCACGACAACGGGTCAAACCCCGCCCTGCCGGGTCCCTGGCCTAGGTCTTTGTAGGCAGAGCCTAAGCTTCGCACACTTCGCACACTTCACTTCGCTCTCGACTGGATTGGGTGGCGGACTGCGGAGCAGCGCGTAGGAGAAGAGCTTGGAGGCATACCTGCAGGCACTCTGCAGCATCTGCAGCACTGCAGTCTTCTCGGTGCCGGGCACTGCACGATCTTTAGGAACTTCTCACGGGTCTGCGCGCTGGCCAGGATCTTGTTTGCTGCCTGCGGGGTTCCACCAGAAGTGAGAAGATCCAGCCTTGGGCTTGTGAAGCTGCGTGCGCTCAAAGGCAGTCCTTTAGGTCAAGATCCTTGTCCGAGAGGGGCAGCCTGGGCCAAGCAGCAAGCCGGGCGGAGCCGGAGCCCTTGGCGGAGCCCTTGGATCCAAGCGCCTCAGTGTGGGCTCCTGTGCCATGGATTCCATGGCCATGGCGAAGGGGCCGGTCCGGGTTTACTGCGAGCTTGCCTAAAACCAGTGCATGGCTGCCATGGCACAGCCTTTTTTACAGTATCCTTTGAAGGTCCCAAGACGTCTCAGAGCCGATGGTCGGTCTGCTCCAGCGTTCAGCGCATCACCGCTTAAGACAAACTTCTCCTTTGAGGGCCGCCTCGGCCGCCTCGCCACTCGCGGCTCGCTTTTTCACCGTGGCCCGGTCCGGTCCCAGAGTTTCGAGGATGCAAGGTTCGATCGACAGTCGGGTCGGATCCAGGACGCGGGGCCTGGCCGCATGGCGCTCCGGCGCCCGCCGGCGCCCGGCTCAGGGGGGCCGGTCCAGCCGGTCTTCCAGGCCGTCGTAGGCCTTCTCGCCTATGCCGCCATGCCGCTATTCCGCTATGCTTCCTGAGGTCCTGCTTTCTCTCCGCCAGGTTTCGGCACTCACTTCTGCGCCGGTGCTCACATACGCCTCGTCTCATGCCTTATATACAGAGTCTCGTCAGAGATGTCGCGACACGGCCGCGGGGCTGCATGTAGCATCTGACTCTGAGAACAAAAGGGTACCATGCTTCCGGGCCGGCGGCGGTGTAGATAAGCTCATACTCGCGCGTGATCGCCTGACATTCCCATAGTGCCATAGCCCACAGCTCTCGTACACAGTTTTTTCCACAATTGCAGATACAAGTGTTGCGAGTGCCCCTCAACTAGACTTCGAGATGCTCACAGTGGGAGGGCGTAGGGCTCCATATTCTCAGTTCACCCCTGCTCTGCTCTCTATCAGGACATAAGGTGTGTGTTAGGACTCCTGGCCACGGGCCCTGGGCCCCAGTTGTTATGGGGCTTTGGAAGTGTGCAAAGCGGGTATCTTCGAACTTTCAGGACTTCGGCCGACGAAGTTGTCACTTCGCTCTTCGAGCGGAGTACAACAGTAGCTTTTAGGCCACCCTTCTTCGTCTTCTCTTGTTTTGGATTTTTCCCACATACGAACGCCCATTCCCCCCGCTTTCTGGTGGTTTTCTCTCCTCTCTCCCTGTGCCTCGGTACAGTCGACCAGGAGCGCCTGCCTCAGACTGCACGAAGCCGGGCGGCCGGCGGGCGGGGACAGCCGGGCGAAGCCTTTGCTGGGCTCCGTGCTCCAACGCTTCGCCCCCCGCCGAGATCGAGAGAGAGGCCTCAGCGACGCGCCGCAGCCGCATCGCCGCGCCGCATCGCAGCGTGCCCATGCAGCAGTGCACGCCGCTGCACGGAGCTCGCGGAGAGCGCAGAGTCTTTAAAGGGCGCCCCATGCGCAATCATCGCTGCGCTCGCCGGCCCGGCCAGGCTAAGCGTCGCTACGAGCTGAGCTCAAAGAAACTCCTTTCGAGTGTGCGCGTGTGTTTCGGTTGAGATTGTGCCGCCTGCTTGCACCGAGAACTCGCCAGGACTCGCTGGTTCCAAGATGAAACAAATAGACCCTTGGTTCAACCGTTTTCGGGGCAGGTTCCCTCTTCCCCCGGCCCAGCTGGCCCAGCTGGCCCCGAGGCCCTGGCCGGCGTCGCTTTCAACGCCTCCTTGGCTCGCTCGATCCTTTGCGACTGGCAGAGCTGCACGTCCTCCCAAGAAAAGGAGGGCAAAGCCATGCTCTCTTTGCTGCGCCCCATCCTTCCATCGTCCTTCTTGGCAAAGTGGTTGGCACAAGCCAAGCAGACGCACCTGGCGCATGGCTACGTGCAGAGAGCAGCTTGCCAGTTCGGTGGCCACTGCCCCCGAGCCACCAAACGGCGAAGCAGGGGATGGAGATCAGGAAGTAGAAAGCCGCCAGATACATCTCGCGGAGGCCAAAAAAGCGAAACGCGGCGTTTAAAGCGGAGCAGCGCCGTTTCGCAAACGGCCTCCGGGAGCTGAGCGAAGCGCAGGTGGTAGAGGAGGTACAGGGAGGCCTGCAGGGACACTGCCAGGCGGCTGCTGGCTGCGCGATCGTCTCGGCTCGGCTCTTCAGCTCCAGGCCAGCTGAAAGATTGTCAGCAGGCCGTAGATGAGATTCACAAAGCCCTCAGGCGCTTCGCTCAGCTTTCTTTAAATGACTCTTCGGACTTATAAGAGTGATCCGAGCCTGAGCATGTCTTGCCCGCCTGCACGCAGCACCAGTCCCGAATCTAGGCTTGAATCCCCACAAGCCAAATCCAAAACCTTACAGTCTGGGTCAGGAGTCAGGAAGTCATGTTTTTGCGGCATGACCCGCGAAGCCTGGAACCAATATTCTAAATTGTCCTGAATCACAAAGCACGCCTCGGTTTTTTGCTCGATTTCCCACAAGCCCTGCCACGCGCCCCGAGCGCAAACCATGCGCTCAGACATCGACGCGATACGATTTTAAGGAGTAAATACTGATGAGAAGGAAGGGATGCTTTTGCAAGATTCACGCATCTCCGACGGCCCTGGCTCGTCAGCCCAACAACTGAGCCTGCATTTCGTCTTTCTATGATTTGTTGGGGCTCTTCGCGCTCCAAGAGGCTGTGCTTAAAGCAGAAGTGAACAGTTGCGACGCGTCAACCCGGCCATGCCCAGGGCCTGGTCTGGAACACAGTGAAGAGCGAGCAGAGGAGGATTGGGATGGAAGCGCAGGTGCCGAGCCTCATGGCATCGCACAGCTCACGGCAGCTCACGGCCCGCTATGTCTTGCATGCAGCTTTGCAGCCCAAGCATGGCCACGGGATTCAGGGTGATGAGCTCCTGGCTGCATAAAAGATGACTTGGTTTAGTCCGCGAAAGTAGTAGACATTCGGCTTTTCTTTTCTGCTTAGCGCTACAGCAGCGGCACATACAGATAAACGCTCACTATCATGGTCACTGCAGGCGAATCTGAGCCGGAATTTAGACTCAACCTGTTCTCATGTTGTCAACTGCCTATACACTATATGCCTAGGGCTGTTCAGTGAACCTGCAGACTGGCAGGGGCAGGGGCAGCAGGGGCAGGGGAAGGGGTACGAGGGGCACCCCGCCCAAGTATCCCGTAAAGATGTCATGCAACGTACTGCTTGGTGCAAGTCGCCCCGAGCGCCGACGACAGAGCCCTTGAGAATCCACAGCATGAGGTTGCAGTGTCTGAGTTGGTGAAGATTGGGGTCCCCGAGAAGGTCATAGGTGACGGTGACGGGAACTGTTGATGCGCTTGCAGATGCTTGTCGGAATTTGACGATGAACACGGTGCTACTGGTCTCCGAAGGCGTCTGTACGGGACGCTATGAAAGAAGCCACTTGGCGTGACGCCATCACTGCAGGAGTGGGCAGCAATGGAGTGATGAAGCCTCGGCTCTGGTACTTTCTTGCTTGCTTGCGCCCCTCGCGCCCTTGTTTCTGTTCTGAATCTTTTTCTGGACTAAGTGTGACTCACTGACGAATTATTCAATGGGTCAGTCAATTTGAATTTTGACACATTGTGGTTGCATTTGCTCCAGGTTCAATGAATGGGGACGTGCAATTGCCGAAATGCAGATTGAGAAGTTCGACAATCCGGCAACTTGCTACACCTGGCACTTCGTCAGCTACCCTCATCCAGATGACTTGGATGCAACAGCTTTGCAGCAGCACATTGCTGGTGTCTTCATGAATGTGTGGTCGGCCTTACTCTTCCGTGAATGAGTTTGACCGACAGATGACGACTCAACCCCTGATCTCGTCGCAGAACTGGTGACAAGAGCATTCTTTACCGTGTGTCATGGGAGGAAAGGACCCATCCGAGTCGTATTTTGGTATGGGGCGTCCCACTACGGCGCTTTTCATCTGGATGCTGCGTCGGTTCTGTTCGCGATGCATGAAGACATCACTGAGTGGAAAGCCTCGCTCCGATATGGTAGCCGTAGCCATTGCTGATGGTGGCCAGCTGCAGGTGGGTGTGCCGCCCGTGCAGCGTGCCGTGACGTGGCACACAAGGAAGTCGTTCTGCCTTCTTCGCGGTTGGCTGCTTGACATAGGTAGTCTCAAGAACACTGGCAGCAGGTTGGTGCCTACTGTCATCGTGCTGCGGTTGACGTTATAGCTTTGCAAGAGGTCCGCGCTGACGGTAGTACCCAGCGTTGCCCCTCCTCATAGTGGCTCGCTCGCGCAAGCGCGGCCAAGGTGACTTCCCCGAGGTTGCGCTTCTTGTACGCTCGCACTTATGGTTGAAGGCTTGATCATCGCACCGTCAGAAGCTCAATGAAGACTTGTTTACTTGCGCCGCCCCTCTTCATTATCGCCATGTTGCTGCAGTCGGTGACTGGAATGGCCACGTCGCGGACACTCCCTTTGCGCTCCACACCTGCATGGCAGGTGGGGCGGTCAGAGCTGGGGCGGTCGACGAGCGTGGAAGGTACATGTCCACGTATTTCCCCTGGCAAAGTTTCTTCGGTCATTGACGGCTTTGTCTTGAACGAGCATGCTGCTCCCTTGTACACTGATGGCGACACTGAACTTGACGAAGGCCTGCAACATCGCCCTTTGTGATTGCATGTTCAAGCAGCGGTCCACTTGCCTAGCAAGCACTGCATAAAGCCTCGTAAAGACTTGGGTGATGGCGCTGTCTCTGATGCTGTTAGCATGGGCTGTTGGAAACAAGTCTGCTTTCCTCGCCGCGTGTGCCTCGTATGTTGTGTCCGCCGCCTGGCTCATCTGGAGCCAGTGTTTTGAGGATATCCTCGCGGAATCTTTTCTCCTTTGTGCCAGTGGCCACGGTCGGCCTGATGATCGTGGGGCTCGTCACGGGGTTGTCGCCGACATCCGTTGTTCTCGTGAATACAATGCGCCCACGCATCAACTCAAGGGCGCTTTGAAACAGAGACGCTTGTATAAAACCCAGTGTCAACCTCGTCAACTTGCACGGGGTCACCTGGCTCACCTCGCGGCCGTCCGCACTGCCACCAAAGTGCTCAACACCCTGCTTGACCTTGCCCCTTGCGTTCCTTTGTCCCGAGCTTGTTGAGCTGCTTGAGCCTGCTGCTGCGAATAATTGTTGATGCAACTTGTTGATGCACCTTGAAAAGTTTTGTCAGCGCACTTTGAACAAGACGAGCGTGACCGCATTGCTGCGTGGAAAGAGTGCATCCGTACGGATTGGAGTTGAACAGACCCATGCTGTCTTTGAGAACGGTATCCTTCACCTTGGCGCTGAAGCGGTCTTCGCGGCTCTGCGCCGCTTCTGGGTCCCCTTCTACGCTCTTCCGAGTGAGATGATGGCCCGTGACGTCCGTGCTCGCCATTACTGCTTGACCTCCTGCCAACGTCAAGTGCCACACCGGCGTTGATCCCGAGATGCTGATGCGCCTCAACCGAAAGCTTAGGGCTTCCTCTGCTGGACGGCCCCATGGCTGGGAAGCCGTTCGGTTGGAAAAGGATGGATCTTCGTACCGCCGGCATTCTGTCCTTGTTCTTGGAGTGCTGCACTCAGGCTTTGGCTTGGCCTGATATCCGTACGTCGGCCCACACCGTTTTCATTCCCAGAGATGGCCGCCGTGGCGTTCAAGACGTGTCTAAATTTCGCCCCATCTCGGTGGCTTGCTTGGCTTATGGTGCGTGGGCCTGGTGCACGTTGCAAAAAACTAACCCTGCGATGCCCGAGTTTGTTCACGCCAGCCAGATCGGCGGTGTCCCTGGTCGCAATTGCGCTGACATGCACCTTCAAACGCAGCTTGAGCTCGAACGCGTCTTGGTTGGTGAAGTCCCCGAACCTGGTGAGCCGGTTCTGGATACATACACCGTGAAGAAGATTCGTGCAAGTTCTTTGATACGTTGCAACCCCCGCGCGTTGGCCAGCTCTTACTGGATGCTGGCATGTGCCCGGAATAGGACGTTGGTTTATGGCTTGCCTACGATGCGCAGCACGAACGTGCCTTCCGCATCGGCCGCACTGTTGATAGAGTTGCCTTGAGGCCATGGAGAGGTATCCTTCAGGGTTGCCCTCTTTCTCTGTTCGCGTCCAACCTCTTGATATGCAGATGGTGCACCATCGAAGCTGTTGAGGCAAAGCCTTGTGCTGTGCTTTCGTCGGTGATAAAGACGACGTCGAAACGCCGGACTGTCTTCCCCTCACCCTCCAGGCGGCTGTGTCGCGTCAGTTCTACAGAGATGAAGGGTTGGTTACGGTATCAAGTGCTCAGAAGACGTTTGCCTGGCATGCGTCACCTCCTGAATTGCCTGTCTCCTGGAGCGATGAAGCCTCCCAGTCCAAACTCACTGGACTCTTCTCTTCTCGGCACTGAAATGTCTTCTGCGTCGCAACCTTGTGCACTTCTGCTCGTAAGGCTCGCACTCAGGCCATGTTACAGGTTACGCGCCGCTTGACCAGTCTTCCCTTGTCTGCTCGCATGAGCGACATTTCCTGCTGCGTCCGCTGCTGTGGCTACGGCATATCCATGTCCCGAAGGCTCAAAGTATTCCACGGGCGGAGCTGTTCCCTTTTCGCACTGGCTTGTTACGTCTTGTCTGGGAAGGAAAACCACGTCGCTGCCCGGAAGCTGCTGTGACAATGTGTTTCCACGACAATCATATCCTTGACCCTGAGCTGGCCGTGTATTAATTATGCCTGTAGTTCTGAGCCCTTCGGCGCGCCCTGCAGGCCCCTGCTGTCTTGCAGCAATGGCTTGCTGCTTGGAGTGCTGTCAACCGCTGACGGTGTGTCCGTGGCCGTCCTTTCGACGCCGTCTGCGGACCTTCGGTTGGGATTGTGATGACGGTGTGTCCTTCACTGTGCCTACTGTGACGGTCACAATCATTGTCGATGTCCTTACCACTCCCAAGCCTGAATTTCTACACCATGTTTGCAACTCGTTGCGTGTCATGCTGCTGCAACGCGCAGAACATCGCCGTAAGGATTTCGTCGGTGTCACTGCTACTGACCTTGATGTCACACGCGTCGTACTCCATGCTGACAGGCATACAATGCTCAGAACGTCTCTGCAGAGTTTGCTCCGTGGTGCCATTACCACCCAGCATGTGCGGTACCTGGCTGGGCTGACGCCCAGTGCCACCTGTCCTTTCTGCGATGGTGATGATGAAGACGTGTACCATGTCTCACGGTCGTGTTTCGCAGAGCATTCGAGATGACTTGACTCACCTTCGTTTGCGTCCCACGGCATGGCCTTCGGCTATGAGCAGCGCCGGAACATGTTGATGCTCCGTATGAGGCCTCTGCTGAGGCCCTTCTCGTCCCTGTCGTGCCGGTGTCTGAGAGCTTTCCGTTCTTTCGCTTACTTCCTTCGCCCCACATGCACAAACCTCATTTTTGCCGTGGCGACGCCAATGCCTTCAACCTGGGTAGGGACGTCTGGTGCCCGGCCAGAGGCGCGTCATGCGCATTCTGACCCCCCTTTTGGAAGGACTGGCGCTGCGCGCGTTTCAAGCGGCAGGTGAATCCTGCGGCAGAGAACGCTAATCTCGTCGTGCAGGGTGTGCTTGGCCGCGGTTGTTCGCAACCGCAGCTCATCCTTGGACGAGACAGCTTCCGCCGAGGGATCACCTGACTTGTTGCGGAGGAAATTCAGGAGCTCCCACGTGTCGTGGTCGTCTATCTGGTCTTCGAGCAGCTGCTCTGGACCTCTTCCCTCAGACGGCTTGTAGGGCAACGGTCACCGTTCACCATCATGCGTCTTCCTGCCCTGCGTTTGAACCTACGTCCTGGGTCGTCGTTGCCTGTGATGCGGCCGTTTCGTGCGGTGCCACGATCTTCGCCCGTGCTGATGGGGATGCGTCTATCTCCGGCTTGACTCGTGCCTTCAAAGGGGCTACTCTCTGGTTTGCCTACCTGCGCGGGCGCCAGCTGTTCCAGGCAGATGGTCCTGATTCGAAGCGTGTGCGCCCGTTACGGGTACCACAATTTGAAGCTTTGCAGGTCCATGTTTGCCTGCTCACAATCTTCGTTCTGTCGACGTTGTTTTGGATCGATGGGGCCTCCACTGCTGGCAGCTTGAAGTGCAAGCCAAGCCGGTCTGGGCCCGTCGAGGAACGCCCCGAATGTCAAGTCACGTTTGGTAGCAAACCAGCTGCTATGCTGATGAAAAGGCGCCTTACCAAACTTGCTGCTCATAACGTGAAAGCCCGCAACACGGCTCTCCATGTGATTGCTGTTGTGAGCGCCTGCGTGAGCGTGACGCTCGGCGCGAAGGCCGCTGGATGCGCCTTGCTTAGTGTTGCCCCCGCCCAGTCCGCTGATCGGACTGCAGCGGTGAAAGCGGAAAAAATAGCGGGCAGCACCTACTGCAAAGCCTCGAAACCGTCATGAACACCAAGGCCAGTCGACCTGAATTGAAGCGTGCCAGAAGCCTCGGCGCCCCTGGTGCCCTTTCTTGAAGTGCTGCAAATGCCACACCGTCGGCACAGTTCTATGTGCTATGTCTATATCATACCTCTGCTCGGCACCGCGCCGCACGGGTGGAGATTCTACGGTTAAATCCTCAAGGCCCTCGGTCCGAGTTGTGGTGATCTGCGGGTTTCCCGCCTTGTCATGTGTTCTTTCTCTTGCAATGTGCGCTCTGCGCTTCCTATCTTTATTGGTGCTGCCAGATGAACACCGCAACAACAATAACAATCAGTAATCTCAAGGGCCCTACAGCGAAAACCAGCGGCACACACAGATAAACAATCATGGTCACTATGAGCTGGAATTCAGAGCTTGTGTTTGGTGCTAATACACTTCCTGGGTAGTACAGTGCGGCAGAACATGCAGAACACGGCGATCCCCGGCCGGCCGGGCCGGTGGGCCTTGAGGAGCACCGGAGCTGGGTCTTCCACCACGCTCAAAGGGGCCATGGCAGCACCGCAACTTGCGTCTTTCTCCTCCCCGGGCGTGCCCGCTGTGCTGGCACAAAGTGCGTCGAGCTTCTTGCGCTGCGAGCCTCTGCACGGCGCGATCGCCGCTGATCAAGCACGATGCGCTCCTCCGTGGCCTCAAGCCGAAAGCTTGCCGAGGTCCCGGAGCGCTGCAGTTGGCAGTTTCTGGCGCGGGCGCGCCTGCATGGCGAAGAGATACCAAACCAGGACGGCTGGAATCACCGTGTGGCAAAACCTGGCGCCGGGGCGAGGAGACCGATTGAATGTTCGGCTGGCGGCGCTTAGAGACGGTACGGGCCCCTGGCGCGAAGTAGTAGAAGGGGTGAATGATTTGAATCCTGAGTCAGGGTCTTTGGGAGTTGGGTTTAGGCAGGGGGAAAGGGAGATCTGGACCTGCGGTCCGTTCGGTCCGGGGTCGCTGCATGAAGAGCAGCTGAAGACAGTCCAGAAGCCTTAGAAGAGGAGGAACCCCAGCGCGCAGCGGCCATGCAGCGGCCCCCATGCAGGGCCCAATTGCACTCTCATTCTCGGCCGAGCGGCCACAAGAGCATCCAAAGGGGCAACAAGAACAAGCAGGGCCTCAGAAAGAGACGGAGCAACAGGAACAACAGGAACGAGAAGCAAAGCTCAGCCCCAGACTTCAGCAAAAATTGTCGAAAGAGCCTCGCGTAGACGCGGGGTCACAGGAGAAGTGCTCTCTTTCTGCTCTCTTGGGCTCCCGCTGCTGCCGAGGCCTCAAGAGAACTGCTGCGCTAACAAGGCTCTGGGTCCGCCCATGCAGGGCCCCAGCACAAACACAAATTTTAGACGTGGACCGTGGGCATCTCCGGCTCGAATTTCGATCAACAGATTATCGATTTCAGCTCCTATGCCGTAAAGTAACTGAGTAGCACGACTTCGCACGCCAGCCGAATCTGACCGAATCGAGTTAGAACTGGAACCATCAACCAAGGTTCTGGACTGCCATCAGCCTCGAAGCCTCGACATGTCTGAAGTCCTGTCGACGGGCCAAGCGGGCACGAGATGCACGAGACGGGGCATCACGACAGCCCTCGCGTGATCCGTGTCAAGCGCTCGTCTCGGGGCCTCAAAACCCAGCAGACAAAACCATCGAGAGCTGTGCTCGTCTCGTCCCCTTCTTCTCCAAAACAGAAACTCGAAACACTCATGTATGGAAAAAACCCGCCCTCCATTCGGCGATGGGCTGCCCACAGTTTCGGGCTTCTCTCGCATCGCGTGAAGCACGCAGTGTCGGGCTTGAGTTTCGGAACATCGGCAGTTTCGGTGCCGAGTGCTAAACGATCGCAAGCCGTGAAACGGACCGCTGAACAAGAACAGCCACGAGGACAGCAACTACGAACAACAGAAACAACGGCCATCGTCTCTTGAAGGGGCCGTTTCTGACACGTGGGATCAACCGCGTTCACCAAAAGAACGGCCGGGTTTAGAGCCAGCGCCATGGCCTTATGATAAGCCGCTCGTCTGATGAGGAGGTGAGTCAAGAAATGTGACCCATCGCCATCGTCTTTCGCGGGGGAAGATTTGACAAATGTCATCACAACCGTGGCCTAATGAGGGTCTGGCAAGAAATGTGATCACCGTTGCCTGTTGAGAGAGCCGGTTCGCGAAATGGAGTGATCAAAACCCTTAGCCCTAATGAGGCGGCAAGTTAAAGCACGTGATTCAACGACATCGCCATGAAGTGCGATCAACCACAAATCATGCTATGATCAAACAAACACTCTAGTCTCTTCATGGACGGGGTTAAACAATGCGATCGCCATCGCCGCGTGGGGCGGTTTAAAGAAAAGAACGACGGCCATCGCCCAAGAAAGAAGTGGGTTTACAAAATAACCGCCAGCAGCCGATGAAGGGCCGCATTTACGAGAACTGATCAACGGCCATCACATAATGAATGTGATCAGCAGCCATTGCCGACCGGGGATTCGGAAAATGGTGTGATCAACCTCCGTCGCTTGATGAGGCGGCGGGCCTTCAGCGGGTTTCAGGCGTGAGATCAAGTGCCATCGCCTAATGGCTGGGCGGGATTACAGCAAAAGACTTGACTAGTGGTGCGATCAACCGCCATCTACTAAATGACGGGGGAAGGTTGATGTAAGAACGGCGATCAAACCGCCAGAGCCTAACGAGTCCGGTTTTACGAGATGCGATCAAGACTGTGATCAACCATAACCGCTTTATGGGTCGGATTGTGCTATAGCTGCTAAACCGCCATCGGGTAATGAAGGGGCGGCCGAGGCGGTCAAAGGTGCGTCTTTGCCAATTGCGGAAACCACTAAGCAAGTGAGGGTGGACAGGCTCCCGTTCTTGAGCAGGGCATAGCCGGGCAGGTAGCGGGCGCTTGCCTGGACACATTTTTCGGCACCACTGCCATGGCGACGGCAATGGCCGCTTGCCCTCACAGCGCTCTTTTTTCACCAAACCCATGTTGAAAGCAACGGCCGCATGCCCTCACCGTGATTTTAACGGCTTTGCCATGGCAACGGTCGCTTGCCTTCACCGTCTGTTTCTTTGCACCAAAACCTTGGCGAAGGCAACTTCACCGCGTGAATTTGGCACCAAAACCACGGTGAAGGCATACAGCCGCTTGCCTTCGTCGTGTGTGTTTTGGCACCCAAACCATTGTAAGGCAACGGCAGTTGCCTTCAGCATGTGTTTTTGTGCCGAAGCCATGGTGAACGCAAGGGCAAATTGCCTGTGTTTGTGGTCGCTTTTAATGGCGCCCCAGCCATGGCGAAGGCAACCGAGCCTTCCCCCCGTGATTTTGGCTCCGAACCCCGTCGTTTCCTTTCACCGAATGAGTTTTTGTTGGCATCAGCTTGCATTCACCGTATTTTTTCGTGGAAGAGCGGCCACTTGCCTTCACGGTCATTCTTTGGCACCAACATGATGGTGAAGCCAACCTCTGTGATAAGCCCAGCTCCGCCGCTCGCCTCCCTCCTTCGTAGACCGCCAGGACTGAGGTCGAGCTTCAGAAATCGTGCAAGTACCGGTTCCGCGGTTCCGGAGCAGTTTTCAAGAAGCGCTTTGACATCTTGCAGCTGGAGGTGCTAGGCACTGGGTTCGGTTGGGCGTGTTCTTTTGAGACCGGGTGGTGCCACCTACTTGGACCCGCTTTGTGATGAGAGCCTGACGGCTTACAGCGGCGAAGGCGATGACGATCATGTCGGATGATGGAAATCTCCGCGCAAGAGCTGGGACGACTCACTGTTCACCTACAGGAAAGGCCGGCTAAAGGTTCAGGGTCTTGGCTCCCCTTTTTTTGCGAATTCGCCGCACGTCTACAGTCGGTAGCAGCCAATTGATGGCTTATACCTGAAAGGTCGCAAATACCCGCCACAAGCGCTGAGGCCGAACGCGGGGACGTGAACGGTCTCAAACGCGAGATTGGAGAGTTGAAAAAATGAAAAGCTTGGAGTATGAAACCTCTGAAGTTCGAAAGGTGAAAGTTTCGAATTTTAAGATAGCCGGTGCGAGTTTGGAGCTTGAACGATTGAAAAGGAATCGAGTTTGAAAGTTTGAAGCCGCGGCGACGGTGTCCGTGGCGGACACAGGCGTCAAAAGGGCGCCCGCCCCGGGGCTCGAGTTTGAAAGTTTGATGTTTGAGAGTTTGAGATTGAACGATTGACAGCTTGAGAGTCTGGGAGATTGAAAAGTCGACAGCTTGATGTTCGAACGGATCGAAGGTTGAAAGGTTCAAAGATCGAATTCCTCAAAATTTCGAGAAAAAGCTTGAGAGTGTCAAGGACGTGAAGGAAACGGGGCTCCGGTACGAAAGTTCCGAAAAATGTAGGCACGGAAACTCTAAAGCTTAAAGTGTGCCATTCGAAGCTTTGTGCCACTTGGTGTTTAGGGTCTGTATCTTGAATGCGGGAATTTGCCAACTAAAGTTTTCCAACCACACCCTACTCCAGACATGTTTTATGTACCGTAGTTCCAACGACGAGGCCGGTTTGACATGTTGGATCAGCTGCCATCGCCAAATGGAGGGCGAGTTTCAGATACGGGATCAACCATCAAATGATGAGGGTCAGGTTCAAGACATGCCATGTTTGAGGTCAACCGTCATCGCCGTCGCAGGGCCGACTTAGCAGCTGAGATTTTCCAAGATATGAGATCAAGATACATGGGATCAACCGCCATCTCCCAGTGGGGCTTAAGCTGTGCATGGGTCCAATCCCAGTTACCTAATGAGGGGCGGGTTTGAGATACGAAACCAACCGCCATCGCCGGAGAGGCATAGGATCAACCGCGATCGCCTTCTGGGGGACGGGATGAACATATGAGAGCAACCCCGCTCGCCTAATGAGAGGGCGGTTCGACAAAGGAAATCAACCGCAATCCGGGTTCAAGACATGAGATCACACACCACCATGGGGTCGGTGTTAAGATATGAGCTGACCCGCCATCTCGCCTGTCCCCTCCCTGCGCAGTGGCAGTGGAAGTGCAGTGGTGGAATGGGACCTCCGCCCATCCTGAATGCTCGTAGCTGCGGTCGAAACGTCGTCTCAAATCTCAACCGAAACACATGAAAACGGCTGCAGAGTATCGCGGAAGCTGGCGGAGGAGAAACAGCAAAGCAGAGGGCAGAGAATGCAGCGCTCTCGGCACCACACCTTTCTTCGTGAGGCTGCATCAGAAGAACCGGGAGCAACGTCACCCTGAGTGCCACGTCCCCTTGTCTGAGAGTTTTGAGCCTGCGTGTTGAGGCGTGGGCCATCCGAACATGATGCCGCAGACCTGCAATGGCTGCAAGGCTCCAGCTCTCGCTCTCAGGCCGCGGGCTCGGCGGGCTCCCGGCCCGAGACACGACGCGACGCGGCCACGCGGCCACGCTGAGGCCATGGCCGTCCAGCGCATGAGGATCTGTGCTTCCTCGTCCTCTGGAGCCGCAGCCGGAAAGGTCGGAAGCTTTCTCCGCATCTTTCTCGTGAGAGGCGCAGTAGCCGCGCGCCTCCATGGCGAGGCAAGCCTGTCAGGGCAGAACCGCCTAGGGCCCTCGGCGATTCGGATTCGCGCGAAGCGTCCGTAGGATGCGTGCCACTCGTGGAGCTGCCGCAGGCTGCCCGCCAGCCGGAGCCCCTGCCAGAGCAAAAACCAGGTGAGAGAGAAGATGTGAAGATGTGTTGACAAATCACGCAGCTTCAGTTCCGCAGCCGCAGTTCCGCAGCATGTGAAAGGGAGATATGGGAGATGGGAGGGAGAGACGGGAGGAGAGACAGAGACAGAGAAGAGCCCTAAACTGCGAAGCGACGCTGTTGGGGAGGTTTCAAGCCCCCACATCACTCGCGGATGCCCCAGCCCCGCACCACACCGGAAAGCCTATGCCTTCTTCCACGGCTCCCAGAGTGGAAACGGGACCTCTCAATACGGATGATAAGCTAAACGCTGTAAGAGTTCCAGGGGCCAACCACGAAGACCGCACCTGCAGTCGTCGCCACAGGAGGAACCTCCGCACCGAAAACACCTCAAAACGGCAGCACGAAAAAGCAGCTAACACAAGAGGCGGAGCTCGCAGCCCTCGCAGCCCTCGCAGCCTGCATCCAGCTCGCTCGGGTGGAGGCCGTCATCTTCCCGCCGCACCCAGAGTGTAACCTATAGAGGGGTGGCAGAGCACAGCCGCGCAGCAGAGCGGAGCTTGGGGAGCAGCGTGTGGTTTGGTGAGTTGCTGCTGCATCAAGCCCACATCGGCGTACCTGAAGCCGAAGCCGGAGAAGCCTGAGAAGCTGGAGAAGCCGGAGAAGCCCGCGCCATGCATGGTCTTTCTGAATCCGGCGGACACGTCGTTCACCGCCACGACCGCGGAGCCCAGCGCCACCTCCCAGCAGACCGGCGCTGAGCGGTGCAAAGCGGCGCTGCGGGCCCGAGATGCGAGGAAATCGCGAGCCTTGGCCGGCGTGGCCCGCCTGGCCGGATGCGGGCTCGAGACGTCGCAGAGTCGGGGCACGCCACCGCTCCAGCCACGGTCCCCGCGGGCCCTGCGCCCCATGGCCTTGTCTGAGGCGAAGCACCTGTCGTCGCGCGCTCGGAAGCCATGGGCAACTTGACTAATTGTCGAACTCGCACATGCGCCAGTGCGCCTCCGCCTTCGCCTCCTCCAGCGTGCTCTTCGCCCAAGGCCTCTCGAAGCCACGAATGAAAACCTCGCACCTTTGGGAAGGGCCCAACAACAGCCCATTGCCTGCTCGACAAGTTCCTGCGGCGAGGCAGCAGGAGCGTAACAGCGAAGGTCGCAACGGGCCACGCAGCCTCGCCTCTGGGGAAAGGTCATGGCTGCGATGATTCCAGCGGTCCAGCAAGGAACCTCTACGAATGTCCTCCATGAGAGCTGCGGTGGAAGCATCTGAGACGCCGCCCCCGAGTCGCCGAGGCTCGGTCCTCCACCACCAGACACTCCAAACCATCGGAGCCTCAGGGCTGCGGCTAATAAACGCCGGCAGGGGCACGCATGGCACGCGACATGCGCGGCGAAGCCCTGAGCTCCGAAACTCGGACGAAATCCAAGGCCTCACAGATGCAGTTAAAATGTCACACCGAAGTCGCTCTGGCCTTGATGGGGTCGGCACCGTAGAGCTGGCAGTCCTCCCAAGTAGCGGGCAAGGCCTCTCCCCCCTTTGCAAACTCTTGGACTCACTTCCTCCAAGCCGGGATCTTTGCAAAGTTCGACCTCTCTGTTAGACAAGGGGGGGGGCCGAAAAGGCACTATAGAGGCACTCCCGCCGGTCCACCGCCTTCGTGAAAAGAGCCGACTGCTCCTGCTCTGCAGGGTGCCTCAGTTGATGCCTCGGAATCTGCAGATGAGCGGATCCAGACCAGATCAGAGCGCAAAGCGCCCCCTTTTTTGCCTCCATGGTGCCCTTGGCGTGAGTACATGGCAGCTGCAGTTGCAGCGCAGGACCCGCAAATGAGCATTTCCACCGTGGCCAGATAAAGCACCTGACTCAGACTCAGAGACTCAGACTCCGCCCCGCAAAACACGCTCCACGCTTCGCAGGGCAGGGCACAAGCGGTGAGTCCTCCTTGAATCGGAGCCTTTCATACTCCTCTGTGGCCTCCGCGTGCCATCCGGCTGCCCGGCTGCCGAACGGCTGCTGGAGCAAAAGCCCTGCTGAGGGCCTGGGGCCCTGCTCTCGGGTCCAGATCTTCCGCCTCTCCAGATCGGACGAGGCCTCAACACAAGTCACCGCCGGAGCTCCAGCACTGCGGAGCACTGCGGACTGTGGAGTAAGTTCCGAACAAAGGACCGTTACTGCAACCATGCACACCAGCGACAGCTTCATGACAGCCTGAACCAAAAGCGGTGCCATCCTCTCTAAGGAAAGGGAAACCACCAGCTCCTGCCCTCATCGAGGCACCCAACAGGCGATATCCAAAATACAACGTGCGGTGCATGTCTGAAAGTCTTCGTGGTCAAAGCCCCCTCAAAGCCTGAGCCCGTTTCATTTGGGTCAGTGCTACTATCCTTAGAACCCTGTTTCTGGCCAAAAGCGGCGCTCAAGAGCTGCCTGAACAAACAAAGCACAGAACCCCCATGTCGTCGGGAGTGTGCTACCATCTGCATTCGAAATCATTCGACATTGCGCGAACAGATGGACGTTTCCTGGCTCGTGCCGCTGCTTCGCAACAGTGCCGCCTGACCCGCCACGACAGAGCGGTCCCCGAATGCTTTACTCGGCTGGCGCGCCTGGTCAGAAAAAGGGTGGAGTTTTATTTCGTTCTTTTTTTGGTTTGGTGCCGTGCGCAATTTTCGCTGATTTGATTTCTGGGTCGCGCGTCCCATTCTCCGCACAAGATGCTGGCTGCGTCTCTCTCCTGCTGAAATACGGTGTTCACTGCTCGTTGACGTCTGTCATTTACACTTGTTGCTGTTGTTGTTGTTGTTGTTGTTCACGTCCCGTCGTTTATACAGGATGCTGGCCGCATGTGTCGCCCCGCTGTGGTGCCGTGCACAATTTTCGCTGATTTGATTTCTGGGCCCTGCGTCTTATTTCCGCACAAGATGCTGGCTGCATCTGTCTCCTGCTGTGGTGCGGTGCCCGCTGCTCGTTGACGTCTGTCATTACGCTTGTTGCTGCTGTTGTTGTTGTCCTTGTAGTTGTAGTTGAAGTTGCAAACGTAACGTAGTTTTTATTGTTGTTGTGGTTGTTGTTGTTGTGGTTGTTGTTGTAGTTGTTGTTGTGTTAGTGTTGTGTTTGCCTCGGTGTTGCTTCTGCGTGGTGGTGCTGCTCATGTTGTTGTTGGTGGTGATGATGTTGCCGCTGTTGTTGTTGTTGTTGCTGTTATTGTTGTTGCTGTTGAAGCTACAGTTGTTGTTGTTATGGGTTGTGGTTGTAGTTGTCGTTGTATGGTCGTTGTAGATGTTGTGGATGTTGATATCGTCATTATCGTGGTTGTGTTGTTGTTTTTGCTATGGTGGTAGTGGTTATGGTTATAGTGGCTGTTGTTGCTTTTGGCTATGGTAGTAGTGGTTGTTGTTTTTGTTGTAGTCGTAGTGGTTGCTGTTGTTGTTGCTGCTGTTTCTGTGTTGATTGTAGTGGTTGTTGTTGCTTTTGATATCGTTGTAGTGGTTGTTGTTGTTGTTTTTGTTATGTTTGTAGTGGTTGCTGTTGTTGTTTTTGATGCGGTTGTAGTGGTTGTTGTTGGGTGCGTTATGGTTGTAGTGGTTGCTAATGATGTTGCTCTTGTTATGCCTGTATAGTATAGTGGTTGATGTTGTTGTTTTGGTACTGGTTGTAGTGATTGATGTTGGGTTGGTACTGGTTGTAGTGGTTGTGGTTGTTGTTTTTGTTCCGGTTGCAGTGGTTGTGTTTTGCTTTTTTGTTGCGGTTGTAGTGGTTGTTGTTGTTGTTGTTGTTGTTGTTACGGTTGCAGTTGCTGCTGTTGTTGCTTTTGCTATGGTTGTAGTGGCTGTTGTTGTTGCTGTTGTTTTTGTTCTGGCTGTAGTGGTTGTTGTTGATTGTGTTATGGCTGTAGTGGTTGTTGTTGATTTTGTTTTGTTTGTAGTGGTTGCGGTTGTTGTTTTTGATGCGGTTGTAGTGATTGTTGTTGGGTGCGTTATGGTTGTAGTGGTTGCTAATGATGTTGTTCTTGTTATGCCTGTATAGTGGTTGATGTTGTTGTTTTGGTACTGGTTGTAGTGATTGATGTTGGGTTGGTACTGGTTGTAGTGGTTGTGGTTCTTGTTTTTGTTCCGGTTGCAGTGGTCGTGTTTTGCTTTTTTGTTGCGGTTGTAGTGGTTGTTGTTGTTGTTGTTACGGTTGCAGTTGCTGCTGTTGTTGCTTTTGCTATGGTTGTAGTGGCTGTTGTTGTTGCTGTTGTTTTTGTTCTGGCTGTAGTGGTTGTTGTTGATTGTGTTATGGCTGTAGTGGTTGTTGTTGATTGTGTTATGGTTGTAGTGGTTGTTGTTGTTTTGGTAATGCTGTAGTGGTTGTTGTTGATTTTGCTATGGTTGTAGTGGTCTTGGTTGTTTTCGTTATGGTTGTAGTGGTTGTTGTTGTTGTTGTTGTGGTTGTAGTGGTTGTTGATGTTGATGATGTTGTTGTTGTTGCTGTTGCTGTTGTTGTGGTTGTTGTTGTTTGTGTTATGGTTGTAGTGGTTGTTGTTGATTTTGCTATGGTTGCAGTTGTTGTTGTTGTTGTTGCTGTTGCTATGTTTGCAGTTGTTGTTGTTGTTGTTGTTGTTGTTGTTGTTGTTGTTGTTGTTGTTGTTGTTGTTGTTGTTGTTGTTGTTGTTGTTGTTGTTGTTGTTGTTGTTGTTGTTGTTATGGTTGGAGTGGTTGTTGTTGGTTTTGTTATGGTTGTAGTAGTTGTTGTTTGTTGTTATCCCTCCTTCCTTTCTTCCTTCCTTCCTGTCTTTCTCCCGGCATTCCTTCCTTCCTTCATTGCCTTCGAAAGGACCCCCAGCCCATTTTCTAAAGCACCGAACGAAAATGAATTGAAAAACAGACTCCCCAAAGGAAAGTCCATGCACAGACAGTCGAGCGAAGGCGAGTGCCGGATTGTGCTGCATACATTAGCGTGCACAGCTTTCGGAGTTGGCTGTGGACAACACAAGGACAGCTTTTTCTTTGCTTGCTTACCTCAAAAGGCTGCGCAATCGCGCAGCATTGTGCATGGAGCTGGCGCAAAGCCTACGTAACAGTACTGGAATTTTCCGGATGGGATCCCTTGTGATCAGCTGAAACTTGCAACTCAGGAGCCTGACCGAAAGAAAAATTGACTTGTTGCTGTTGGTCCAGAACTTCTTCCTCGCCCTCCTCCTGAGGAAAGCGCCATAGGCGTGCTCTGCACATGCTCTGCTGGATACTCTGCTCCGCTGGGCCGCTCGTGTCCTGCCCCAAGCTCCGGTAGCGGCTGCGCTTGAAGCATCGCAGAGATCTCACGACCTGCCAGCCGTTTCCTCTTCTCTCGTTTCCCTTTCGGAGGCCGAGCTGGCGACCGCGTGCAGGCACGGGATCTGCCGCAAGTGCAAGGAGGCCGCGTGCTTCAAGCGCCTAGGCGGAGGCGGAGAGCCGCGGAGCTGCGATCTCTGCGCCACTGCGCCACTGGGCCCTCGGACTTTCGAAGAGATCGCGATCGGTCGGTGAAGGACTCCATTCGCGGATGCGGTGGCAGCTGAGCCCAGGCTCAGAGCTGAGGAAAGCGATGCGATTGCAGCAAGGCGCAGTCTCCTCCTCTTTTCCTCTCTCCTCTCTCACCCAGAGCGGCGCAGAGGTTTTTCCCTCGCTTCCGCATCGAGGACTCGCAAGTTGAGGTATGTACAAGGCCACAGGTGAAGAGCGCCTTTGATAGGATGCCGCTTGGCTACACGCTCGTGAGCTCTCAAAGGCACTCCTCGCAGTCCCTGCCGTTTTGGCTCGGGGCCGCCCAATGTTCGGGCGGCGACTTCGCGGCCTGCTCAACTGTAATCCTCAGATGACCGGGGTAGGGTTAGGGGGAAAAGGCCGGCTCTTCCGGCTCAATCTTCAATGTGAATAACCACCGCCGTGTCTGCGGCAAGCACACAGACTAGCAGACTAGCATGATGAGTGCAAGAGCTCGTAACCAGCCTCGAAGGAGCCACAAGTCCTGCACTTAGAAACAATCAAATGACAACTATCCATGTCTTCCTGCAGCTTCTGGGGAGCCTCTATAGGTTCTGGCAGAAGTCTGTACACAGCTGGAACCCTTTAGCGTTTTACGGCTTGTAGATGACTTGCGCGCAGCTCGTCATGCCACCGCGATGCTGCGATCCTGTTTGCACCTCTGATCTGTCGGAGTCCTGGGACTCGCAGCTTCCCATTGGCAGTGCGACATTGTCAAGCGGCAGCATCCTCAGAGACGCGCAGAGCGTACACACCCATTTGCCACTGGCGAGGCGAGGCGGCGAGGCTGCCACGCGCAAGACCAAAGACCCGTACCTTGCAAAAACCCGCAGCACGCGTGAGCGGTTTAGAGTCTTAAGGTCTCTCTTAAGTGACGCTCCGTCTCTAGACGGCCTCCACCATGGAAGGGACTGCGTGGCAAGAGAGGGCAGCTGAAGTTGTGACTCGCTCGGGCATGGTGCTTCTCCTTCCACGGATCCAAGGCAGCGCGGGGAGTTGGTCTTTCAAGGGGTCGCTCCTTGCCAGCAATTAGGCTCATGGCCGTTTTGGCTCCCTGGCCATGGCCTGCGTGTCTCTGCAGCCCCAGACCTTGCAGCCCTTGCCCGGCATGCCGTCGCCGGAGAGCCTCTGCCACACCCGTGTCAAGCATGTTGCCGGCCAAGGTCCCACAGAGCACATCAAGAATTGCAAAGCTTTGCTGTAACGACGGAAGCCCAGCCGCGGCCAAGTACTGCACACACCCCGGCATGTGTCTGTGTGTGAGTGTGCATTTGTGCGGTTACGTGTTCGTGTTTCTTTGTGTGTTGTGTGCTTGCCTGGTTGCATGTTTGTGTGGGTGTGCTTGGGGGTGGGTGGGGGTGGGAGTGGGTGGGGGTGGGTGGGGGTGGGGGGGGTGTGCGTGTGCCGTGTGCGGGTGGGGTGTGTGGTTGCTTGGGTGTGGGGGTGTTGGCCAGCCACAAGGGTATGCAGAACGATGAACAATTAGCAGCAGAAACGAAAAGGCTTGGGACAGAATGCACATGCCATGCCATGCCATGCCATGCACGTCGTTGCGATAACGGACCTGACGCAACCTTCGAGAAACCCAAGTTCACAGCACAAACATACAACCAACCAGCCAAACAAGCAACCAAACAAACACACGCACACACAATCGCGTGCACACACACACGCACACACACACACACACACACACACACTCGTGCAAAAAATCCTCCCTCTGGCTTGTCTTTGTCGAATCATAAATCTACTTACAGAGGTGAAGATCTGAAGCCGCACAAGCAGTTAAAAGGGTGTTCATCAACCTTCCAGGTTTATGGCTTTGCCCGGTTGCCATGCAGAATCAAAAGACTCCGTGGGGTTCTTGGCTTAGCCCTACGCCACTACAGAAAAGATCGCAGGTACATTTACACGAGAACAGGTAGATGGGTGTGCCGTCTTCGTTCGCCAACGCACGTACTCATCTTACCTGCCTCTCCGCTGGCCCACTGCTTTGTTTCTATTGTACATCCCTTGGTAACAGGGTTTCCCACACAAAATGCCACTCGGGCATTGCAGCACTGTGCATAAAAGAGGCGCAAGGTAGCCACATTGGGGGAAGCGGAAAAAGAAAAAGAAAGGCTCTGCAGGAAGGCGGGAGGTCGGCTGTGAAGCCTTCAAGCATAACTAGAAAACAATTGGCCCGAAAGCATCATTAGCGAGAGTTTTGTGCTACGTTATAGAATCCAGTGCATACAACCACAGAGGCATAGAGTGAAGTGCATCTAATTATGAAGTACATAGTAATGCCGAGATCGATGTATTGAAATCCCGTCAGCTTGTGTCGGGACTAGGGGTTTTTGGTTCCAGGGGTTCTGGGTTTAGCGTTGCGGTTTAAGGCTTCTGGTTTCAAAGGGTTCTGGGTTTAGTGCTTCTGGGTTTCAAGTTTCCGGGTTTAGCACTGCGGTTTAGGGCTTCTGGTTTCAAAGGGTTCTGGGTTTAGTGCTTCTGGGTTTCAAAGTTTCTGGGTGCAGGGCTATTACTACTATTACTAGTATTACGACTATTGCGACTATTTCAACTACTACTGCTACTACTACTGCTACTACTACTACTACTCCTACTAATACTACTATTGCTACTACTGCTACCACTGCTACTGTTACTACTATTACTACTATTACAATTATTATTACTACGAATACTACTATTATTATTACTACTATTACTACTACACTTGCTACTATTACTACTAAACTACTATTACTACTATTTCTGGTATTTCGACTATTACTACTAATACTACTATTACTTCAAATACTACTATTACTACCATTACTGCTATTACTACCATTAGTACTACTATTACTACCATTACTACTACACCTTCATGCGCAGCAAAAGTTTTAACTTTACTTCGCGTTCGAACACTCGACCACGCCAATCTCTGTGAAGGTTTGCAAATTTCACCTCAATGCACATCAAAAGTAGTAACTTTACCTCGCGTTCGTGCGTTCGACCACACCAATCCCTGTGAACGGTTGCAAAATTCATTTCAATGCACATCAAAAGTAGCAACTTTACCACTTACTACTATTACTACTAATTACTAATACTACTAATGCAACTAATGCTACTAATACTACTATTTCTACTATATTACTAGTATTACTAGTATTACTAGTATTACGACTATTACGACTATTTCTACTATTACTATTAATTCTACTATTACAATTACTACTACTACTACTACTACTGCTACTACTACTACTACTACTACTACTTCTACTACTACTACTACTACTATAAATACTGCTGTTACTACTATATACACTATACAGCTACCATGCGCAGCAAAAGTGTTAACTTTACCTCGCGTTCGAACACTCGACCACGCCAATCTTTGTGAAGGGTTGCAGATTTCACCTCAATGCACATCAAAAGTAGTAACTTTACCTCGCGTTCGTGCGTTCGACCACACCAATCCCTGTGAACGGTTGCAAAATTCATTTCAATGCACATCAATAGTAGCAACTTTACCTAACATTCGTGCATTCGACCATGCCAATACCCGTGAATGGTTGCAAAGTGCCAATCCCTGTGAAGGATTGCAAAAGCGCTTCAAAGTAGCAACTTTATCTCGCGTTCGCGCACTCGATCACGCCAATCCCTGTGAAAGGTTGCGCACGAACTCTAACATGTGTTACTTTACCTAGCGTTTGGGCGCTCGACCAGGCCAATCCCTGTGAAGGGTTGCGCGCGGCGCCTAATAACTTGTGTAGCTAACTTTACCTAGCGTTTGGGCGGTCGACCAGGCCAATCCCTGTGAAAGGTTGCGTGTGAACCCTAAAATGTGTTACTTTACCTAGCGTTTGGGCGCTCGGTCATGCAGGCCAATTCCTGTGAAGCGTTGCGCGCGGCGCCTAATAAGTTTTAGTGTGTGTAACTTTACCTAGCGTTTGGGCGCTCGACCAGGCCAATTCCTGTGAAGGGTTGCATTCCCGATCGATGACGACGGTGCCACCCTGAGTCATAGTGTCATAGAGTCAAAGTGTCATAGAGTCAAGTGCATAGAGTCATAGAGCCATAGAGTCGAGTGCATAGAGTCAAATGCATAGAGTCAAGGTCATAGAGTCATAGCACACAGTGCATAGAGTTAGTTAGAGTCCTGGTAAGTCATCTATGTACTCGACTCTATGTACTTCACTCGATGCATGTCATCTGTGTACTCGATTCTATGTCTGTCATCTATGGACTTCTCTCGAGGGCTCGGAAGAACCCGCGATGCTTTCGGGAAAAATTAAAAGTAAAAGAAGCAGCTGGAGGCCGCCCTTGGGGCTTAAAAAGCCTTCCTTGGCTGCAAGCGTTGAACAGGAAGGGAAAAGTGCCTCTGAAACGACAGGGTCGGTTGCCTCCATCCCCGTCCCGAGCAGTGACTCCGACGGAATTCAGGTTTCCATCATCGCTGACAGCCCGAGCTGCCGCGGCAGTGCCGGGCGGGACAGCGATTGATATTCGCTACCCGGGGTTGCGCGAGCTAGTAGCTCAGATTCCGGAGGTAATCCGGCCCCCGCCAGTGGCGGAGTGGCCGTATTGGAGTCTTGCGGGCTGTGCCCGCGACCGCAAGCACATCATGGGGCTCCGCACCATCCCGTGCGACTGGCGTCATTAGGGAAGAACCGACAGTCGAGGGGAACCGGACCGATCGGAGTCACCGCTCTCGGTGGCGCGGCCGATCACAGCTGCCGGTCTGGGCCAGGAAAACGGCAGTGATCGAACGCTCGTTGGATCAGGCACTCAGAGTGCCTAAAACTAAACGGCAGCAGCAGAGCAGCAATCCACCATCGGATGCAGAGGCCCTACGGCACCTCTGAAAAGCAGAGGAATCCACTTAACTATCGGTCACAAAGCCCTGGGCAACCAGTCGTAGATCGAAGCAATGCAAGCAGAAGCAAGCAATGGGGACGATCGGAGTCTGTTGCCGTGAGGTTGACAACACAGCTAAAAGGCAGCACGGTATACTTCCCTACG